TTACAAAATGTAAATATGCGTCTTAAAGTTAAAAAGTGCTGCCAGGTATAAGGTATTTCAAGGAAAAACCGTTTCTTCTTCTGTGGGTCTCATGACCCTGGGAAACTGCCTTTGCACTCAAGAGTTCCAACTCTGTTCAATGACTAACTGCACAAGTTTCACACACACACACACACACACACACACACACACACACACACACACACACACATATCCATCCACCCCTCCCCCCCCCACACACACTACATAACCCTTCTCCAAACACTACACAGCTCTAGGACACCTTTATTAATTCTGTGAAGAGAATCAATTTTGTACAAGGTTCTCCTAAGGCTGTGATTTGAATGAGAGAGAGAAGGACCCTAAGAAATTACCCTCCCTCTACAGATGAGATCCTCTGGTGCCTAGGAGTCCGGGAGAAAGGATGAACCCCGCCCCCCACCTAAGACAGCACCGAGACCAGAGTCGTGGGTCTGCTGTCCCTGGCGTCTTACTCCTTCCACTAGCACTCTGGTGGCCCCTGCAGAGAGCACTCTGGTGGCCCCTGCAGAGAACACCCCAAGTATATAAGATACATCATGGTTCTAATACCATTTTCCTGCCATCGGCATTCCCACAGTGTGTGCACAGGGCAAAGTCCTTCTGTTGTAAGCGAAGAGGAATTATATTTAAAAATATCTTGAAACAGGTATTTCTATTTAGCAGCAACAGTCTGCTTCATATCCCCAAAGAGCCACACGCAAGACATCATTTTGTTGTGGGATATAAAAACAGCTCACTCGGGTGGCCCTTACCTTTAACAAGCAGCCTGTCCCTCACAGACACCCGCCGACTGGAGTCAGAGGCTGTGGCTGACGCCCGGGATCCTTTGAGACCGTCATCCCGCTTCAGCTTGCTTGCCAGTGTCAGCATCACTGCTGCCTTTTTCCTGAAAGGCCAAAGGCAGGTTAAGCACTCATCTCCAGACACTGAGACAATGAGGTAAGGTGATTTTTAATTTTTTCCCATAATTTAGTTGTAGAAAAATGTAGCATGTAAGATAGATTAATAAGACTGCATTCCTCCATAACGAACTTGGGTAATCTCTATGCCTCTCTAAATCTGAGTTTTTAAAGTATGAATGAAAATTTTAAAGGAGAGCCAAGCATTCAACACTCACTGAGCAGCAGGACCTGGGATGTAGAGCTCATGTCTAGGGCAGCCTCCACTGACGGGTTCCACATGGGCCCACCACTGTTCACTGCCCTCCCCTTCTGCAGGGACCGTGCCTCTGAGGGTGTGGCCCCAGTGTCTGGCCCATCGTACACCGAGGGGAGTGTCCGCCCCTGGTGAGGAGGGAGCACCGCAACGCTTTCTCCCCTCCTTTAAGAAAGGTGTAGCTAGAACCTTAGTAAGCATCTTCACATTTGTGTGTATTGTGCTGTACTCACATTGGAAGGCAACAGCAACTTAATTAAGTTACAATTAATGCCCCAAACTAGATTCTTTTCACTGGGCTGCTTCCAGCCCACTGTGTTGCAGGCTCCTGCCGCAACAGCTCACTGGGAAGGACAATAAAAACCAAGCACAGGTGATGCACCTGACTGCTTGGGAAAAAGGACTTAAGGTGTCAGCAGTGTTTACAGACAGAACTGTCCTCCAGCATCGCCTTCTTTATGTATACAAACCGCCATTCCTGACAGGCCTCCTGACTCCTCCTGCATGCTTTACCAGTCGGAGAGGAACTCTGGAACGTCTGACTGAAGACAAAAATTGATCGCCAGCTCAATATTTTCATAATTTCCTCTGTTGTTTTAATATCATTTCCTTGCAATATCACTCTGATCATTTTCAAGAGAAAATGATACAGAACTTCCAGATGAAAAATTTAAACTGACGTAAGGAAAGAACTTTTAGTTTGAGGCCAAGGTCTTGAAAGCCAAACTTTAAGAATAGCTCTCTCCCAAGTGATATTTTTTGGAGAGGGAAATGGCAACCCACTCCAGTATCCTTGCCTAGAAAATCTCATGGAACAAGAGCCTGGTGAGCTGCAGTCCATGGGGTCAGAGTCGGCGCGACTAAGTGACTAACACTTAAGTGATCTCTTGAGCCATTTTAATCCAGGTCCCTCACTTTTCACACCATCATCTATGTATCTCCCCACCCCACAAAGACTGTAAGATTTTATTTTCTACTATGAAAACAATTTATTGAATATGCTCTTCTGAACTACACAGGACCTATCACTCACCTAATCCCTTTAGGAACCACTGGTCTCAATGCTTCAAAAAGACAGTTCTACTACACATCAGCACTCACGAGCTCCTAGAATGTCAGCTCTGGGAAGGACCCCTTCCCCTGACTCCTACTTTTTCATGGATGTGGATTCTGGGACAGCTGGGGCCCAGGATCTGGATTGTGTGAGGCCACTCAGCTGCTAGAAGAGATCACCATAGAAACACTGGTTTCCCACGAGTAGATGATGGGGATGTTTCTATCCTGAAGGTGGTGATGGTTCCAGGGCTATATACACACACCAAGACTGATCAAATCACACGATTTAAACACGTACAGCATAGTGGACTTCAGTTGTACCTCAGTAAAATTGGTCAAAATGTGATTCTAAGACATCACTAGTTTTCTTATTCCCACTCTACCATGCCGTCTCCCCAGGTGGGCCTATGGAGAGGACATAATCCTTTAACACACATCTCAGCTTCACCCAGCGTGGGGGACTATCGCTTCAGCTTACAAAGCAATCTCACGAGGGAAGGCTGGGGTGGTGTCAGGAATACCTGTGGGCTCCAGCCCACAAGCTACCAGGGACAGCAGCACCATTTACAGCCTGGGGCTCCTGCTCACCCCCAGCTCCCCCGCAGTCCCGCTCCAGGGAGCTTGTCATTAACCCCTCAAGCAAATCTGGATCCCAAAGCAGTGTCTGCCTCCCGACCAAGCCCACTGCCAGGCACCCAGACTTGAGGACATTAGTCCTGCCACATGGACAGGGTGGCCTGATGATGGGCCAAGATCTCCATCTATCACAAAGTCCACTTGGTTTTTAAACTCGCGCTGACCTTGATAACACAAACATGGCAAACAAAAGCACAGCTTGTGTAAACAGAGTTCGGTAGGCAGTACCCTAGGAAAATCATAATAAAGAGCCCAGTGGAGTGGGTCCCAGGGCACACGACTGGCCCACACCCAGCTCCCTGCGGACCTGCACCAAAGGGGCTGCTCAGAGGGTCCTGGCAAGATCGACTGACACAAAGAAAGGCTCACAACAAGATGCTTCTGTGTCGCCTCAGCCTACGGACTCTGCTTAATCATCTTACACTCCTACCTCACACTAAATTCTTCTCTGTGGGCAGAGTATGCCCCATACGCAATTCCATTTAGAGTCAGATTCCTGGCTTTCGATATTCAACAAGTTTGTGACCCCTAATAAAAGACACTGGGCTCTGATTAAGCAAGATATAAAACACTGTGATGTCCTGTTTTTCCATAGAAGACAAAACATATTCTGAACATTCTAAGAAATCATAATGACCAACTGTTCTCCATCATCTGCAATCATTTTCATACACCACTTTAGGGATAAACCAAAGGTCTAATTTGGGCATGTTCCATAGCTGTTAATTTAACTCTGTGCAAAGAGATGTGAATGAAAATAAATTATCCAGGCTGTCAGTTTAACTGAACACCTGTGGTTTGCTTCAGAATTCTCTTTTCCTTCGTTGATATACTTCACCCTTTGAAGACCTGGTTTAAAACTAAAATTTCCCTTTTACCAAAAATTACACTTTGACCATGGCAGCATTTTCAGTAACAAATCAATTACACTGAATAGCACACTCAGTCTCTAAATTCCTTAAGCTGTAACTGGCCCATTTAAGTTCTTCCTCTGGGTGGGACTTTACTGCAACTGTTCAAAGATTTTTATGCACTACTTACTGTGGTTTAGTTGCTAAGTTGTGTTTGACTCTTTAGCAATCCCAGGGACTGTACCGGTCAGTCTCCTCTGTCCATGGGACTTCCCAAGGCAAGAATACTGGAGTGGATTGCCATTTCCTTCTCCAGGGGATCCTCCCAACCCAGGGATCCAACCTGAGTCTCCTGCACTGCAAGCATTTTCTTTACCACTGAGCCACCAGGGAAGCCCCTGTGCAGTTTACTAGGCTCATCATCAAGAAGTATTTACTCAGCATTCTGGCCTGCAGTGGCAAAATCAAGCCAGGCCACCTGTACAGGGGCCAGTCAGCGCCTGGGGTGGGGTACTCCTTAGTTACAATTCTTCCTGCCTTGGCAGAGTCCCAATCTAAGTGTAAAAGGTGGAACTGCATGTCACTAGGGGTCAACCAACTCCACAGTCAAAAAGGGGCCCAGATCAGGACATAAAAATGTCCACACCCCATCCTCCTCCTTCAGCAGGCCAGGGCCCAAGGAACCCACCCACCTGGCTCAGTGGTTGGCTGCCCTATGACCTTTGGAGCCCAGCCCTTTTATCTGGAGCGGTCAACCTGCCTCCCCCTGCCCTGCCTACTACCTGAGGGGCAGTTTGTTCTGGTGGAGGTCCTCAAACCCCTTAACAGTTAACTTGCTGGTGATTCTTTGAACATCTCCCCCACGGGGGCCCTTCCCCTGCCTCATCCCCTTACCAGCCTGGAACCCTCCGTACAAGGTAGAGGGGCCTCCTCCCTGTTCCTCAGCGACATCTCGCTCATTTCTGGAAGCTTCTGCTCAATCTGACATCCAGGTCGGGATGCCCTGCTTCCCCTCACCACTTCATCCTGCTTCTTCCTTCGGATAACCGATGACTAGGCAGCAGATTCCTGCACCTCCTCCAAGAAGCCTTCTCCGGCCACTCCGAAACCGCCCCGACCCCACTTGGGAGCTGGAGGGAAGGCAGAGGGGCGGGCCCAATCCCGCGTGAGAGATGAGGGAACCGAGACCCGGGGAGGGGAGGGCCACACCCAAAGACTCCACAGCAGCCGGGACTCGGCGGCCTTAGGGATGGGTCCAAGATGTCCTCCCCCCATCCTCTGCCCCGGGAAGACCCTCCAAACCGGCCCCGGTTGTCCCCAGTAGGGAGCCGCAGGCACGCCGGCGAGGCGGCCGCCCGGCTCCTACGCACCCTCGGGGGCGCCCCCCGACTCCCCGGCCTAGCCCGATTCCCCCGGACGTCAAGAGTACGGCTGCCCGCGTCCGAGTCCCGCCGCCTCCAGCCACTTTGGACCGGTGACCTTGAGCCCGCTGGGCGCTGCGTTTCCTCGCGGACAATGCGGCTCGCAGCTTCCCCACGAGACGGCGGGCGAGAGGGGGGGCCGCGGAGTGCCCCCAAAGTCCGGGCTCGGGCGGGCTTGTCCGTGGAGCCCGGAGGCGGCCAGCGCCCCGGCCCCAGCCCCTCACTCCCCAGCCCGCGCCCCGCGGCGCCTGCCGGCCCTCTGGCCCCCCACAGCGCCCGGCCGTGAGGAGAGGAGCGGCGCGGCCTGAGGCGGCCCTGGGGCCGCCCGCCCGCCCGCCGGGTGCACCGGCGCCGAGGGAGCCAAGCCGCCCCCCCGCGGCCGGCGGCCGCCCGCCGCAGGGCCGCCCTCTTCTTACCTGGGCACCCCGAGACAGGCGAGGCGGACCCGGCGCCCAACACCATGCCCCAGCCGGCCGGCGGCAGCGAGACGCGGCCCCTCACAACCAGCACCGGCTCCGGGCGGCGAGACCGGAAGTGGCAAGGCGGGGACTCGGCCGCTCTCGCCTGAGGCGGCGGCGGCGGCGGCGGCGGCGACTGCAGCGGGCGCTTTAAAAAAAAAATTCAAAGGCCCGAAGAACTTTATTTGGAGCCTGACATGCGAACAGTAGTGCGCACCGGGAAAGGGGCCTGGATTCGGCGGCCGGCGCTGGGGCCTCGCTCATTGGCTGCGGGGCGGGCACGGATCTTGCGACCCTCGCTGATTGGCCAGTGGCAACAGGGGGTCGGGTCGCCCAGTCAGTTCCTGAGCCTGCGCGCCAGAGCTCCTGGGACTCTTAGCTGTCTTCATGCCTCCATTCATTTGGTCCTGTGCTGGGTCTGGGCCTGCGGCTCCGGATCGTCACGCAGCGTGGTCCGCAGAGGCGGCCAGGCTAATGCTGACGGCTCGGTGGATGGAGCGCCCGCTCTATGCCCATCACCGTGCTCAGAATGCAGAGAAGCGCCCCCCACCCCCGTCCCCCGCCAAAGCCCGCACAGTCGGGACAGACCTGCAGCCTCCAAACTCCCCGGGGTGCTCGCGGGGCCCGCCGTAGAATCTGTGGGCCCTTTCCTGTTGCCCAACTTTTTTTATTCCTTCTTTCATCGCTTACACTTTTGTAAAGTACTTACTTTAAAAAATCTGTTTCAAATGTTTTAATTTCTAGCTGCTTCAGTTCAGTCGCTCAGTCGTGTCCGACTCTTTGCGACCCTCATGGACTGCAGCACGCCAGCCCTCCCTATCCATCACCGACTCCCGGAGCTTACTCACACTCATGCCCATTGAGTCGGTGATGCCATCCAATCATCTCATCCTCTGTCATCCCCTTCTCCTCCCGCCTTCAATCCTTCCCAGCATCAGGGTCTTTTCCAGTGAGGCAGTTCTTTGTATCAGGTGGCCAAATTATTGTAGCTTCAGCTTCAGCATCTGTCCTTCCAATGAATATTCAGGACTGATTTCCTTTAGGATGGACTGGTTGGATCTCCTTGCAGTCCAAGGGACTCTCAAGCTTCTTGAGTACACATTATTTTCCTGTCCCTTCGCATCCTGGTGTAGTTGGTAACAGGCACTCTGGGGGAGTTGTGCAGGGCTCCTGAAGGAGTGAGCCATCTGAGAGAAGAGGTTCACCTCATGGACAGGGAAGAAAGGGCCAAGAAGTTAGAATTTTATTTTCAGAAACCCCATTGAGAGGTGTTAGAGGGTGGTGTGACAGTATCAAGTTTCCTTTCTAAAAGGGGCTTTGGTTCTGAGAGCTGGTGGAAGAGGGGACAGGCAAAGAGGAAACCTGGGTCAGCAAGACCAGTCAAGAACAAAATTCATGGTGTAACTTCTGTTCGGGGACAGTTTTCTCCTTCTTTATACGAAATTTTTCTAAGCTTAGACATCACTTTCTCAGAGAGGGCTGAAAGCTGTGCAAGGGGTGAAAGGGGTGAAAGTTGTGAAAACTGTGAAAGGGGTGCAAGTGCCCCTCTGTGATTTTGCTGAAGCTCTGAGCGTCCTTGTTCCTGGTGGTCAAGGCCAGTGCCTGCTTCCATCAGCTCCTCTTCTGTGTTTCACATCGTCCAACCCTCCTCCCCGTCCTGACATGTAACAGGTACCAGATAAATACTACCCGAGCTTGTTGCAGGAATCCTGGAGAGAGAAGATAAGGCCTTGAAGCAAGGCAGCAAATGAAGGTACAGTGGGCTGGCCTGGGTACTAGTCTTGCTGAGGAACTCTCTATAGGACAGCCTGAGTACACACAGGCCCGTGGTGGCCACACCTCACCAATGCAGGTAAATGAAGCCATTCCTAGCTCCATTTCATGAGGCTGACTCATGCCTGCATCTGAGCCTTATTTAGGGACTTGGTTGATTCCTATAGTCTTCACAACAAGCTAATGAAACAGGTGTTTTATTATCTCTGCTTTGTAGATGAGGGAACCGAGGCACAGACGTCATCTGCCTGCCAAGGTGGAGCTAGGGGTCTGCTCACGGTGCATGGGGGTCTCAACCCGTGCACCATGGTGGCTGGTGCTGCTATCGGCCAAGAGAAGGGCAACGCTGGCCCTCCTGCTTCCTAGGGAAGCAATTGGTTTTCATCCATAATCCCTTCAGAACCAAGCTTTCACTAACTTAAGCACAAAAGACTTAGAGGACAAGATATACATGTGGCATCAATCTGAGGAGGAAACTGGGAGCCTGGCTTCTAGCCCTCAGTGGCTCCAGCTGAGTCTTGGCCTCTGGGGACTGGCCTTGTCCTACCAGATGCTTCTGTGTAGCTGGGGCCTGGCCCGAGATACGTCTTTACAATCCAGGCCATAGAGGGGCAGTTGCTTCCCTCCCAGCCTCCCGTGTGTGCATGCATGTGGGCATGCCGGTGTGTGCTCATGCCCATGTATGTGTGCATGTGGGCATGCCTGTGTGTATGTGTGCATGCATGTGTACATGCCTGTGTGTACATGCATCTGTGTGCAACTGCCTGTGTGTGCACATGCCCATGCACCTATATGTAAGGGTGGAAGGGGTAGAGGACCAGTTGTGAGCCTCTAGTAGGGAGGAACCTTTGTATTCTATTACAAGTTAATCATCAAAGGGATATTGCCTATAAATTTAAATGATACACAATGGCCCATCCTTGGGAACCCTCTGCTCCCAGGTAATGAGCATTAACCTAAAACTCATTTGTTTAGCTCACAGGAACCATCCTGACCAGGCTCACAAGTGAATGACTGCAGAAAGGAAGAAATTAACACATCCCCTCCAGAGGCTGATGGGGACCAGGAAGTGTTTGACTTTACCCACCTCCACTTTTAGTATAAAAGAAGTCTGAATTCTAACTTGGGTGGGATGGTTCTTGGGGACACTGGCCCACCATCTTCTCAGTCTGCTGGCTTTCTGAATAAAGTCACTATTTCTTGCCCGAGCAACTCCTCTCTTGATTTATTGGCCTGTCATGCAGCAGGCAGCATGATCTTGGACTCCGTAACAAGCCTCTGAGAATAGCACAGTGCCCAGGGATGAGCAGGTGGACACAATTCTTCTGGTGTCCTTCCCACCTCCTTCATCCCTACCCTGAGAAGCTCAGCCCAGAGCTTTTGGCTGAAGCACGGAGGGGGAGATATCCCCTATCTTTTCAGCCATCCCGGCCTCTGGACACAACTGTACAGGCTGCCCCAGAAGCTGTCCTGGCTGGTCTGGGACTCACTTTCCTGGTGATATGGTACCACAAAGGTCTGGGCTCACCAGGGGTCTGGGCACTCTTCAGCCTGGGGCATCCTGCAAATTGGTTAATATCACCTGGGATAAGGGCCTGGGTGCCTGTTGGGTTAAGGCCAGGCCTCCTGGGCAGGGAAAGCCTTAGGGGAGCCCTGAGGGGGGTGCTTTCCTTAGCCGTTCACTCACTGTTCCCTCCCTCACCCTCTGTGGATAGAGCAGAGCTCTCTCATGCCAGCAGCACCCCATCAGGGTAGACATTCCTGGATCCTGGCTTCATTGGAGGATTGTTCTGCCCACCGTGTTCTGTGAACTCCAAGCCTTTGCCAGGGCAGGACCTCAGTGATGTTCCCAACCCAGCCCCTTGTGTGGATTGGGACACAGCCCTGGCAACACTGGATGCTGAAGAGACATGGGTGGAAGGGTGCACCCCGGCCCTCAGCAGGTACCTACTCCAACCTGTTCTGTGGTTATTCCAGGGCGTGCATCCTTTCCTCTAAGAAGGCCTGTTCTCCTAGGAAACAAGATCCAGGGCACTAATGAGCAGGCCTGGACACACACAGGTCTGTGTCCCTACAGGGGCCCCTGAAATCTCTCAGTAAGTCAAGAACTGTGTGATGGGCTTCCCTAGTGCCTCAGTGGGTGAGAATCTGCCTGCCAGTGCAGGGCACCCAAGTTTAACCCCTGGTCCAGGAAGATCTTACATGCCGCAGAGCAATTAAGTCCATGTGCCACGCTACTGAGCCACGTGGTGCAACCACTGAAGCCTGCATGCCCTAGACCCGTGCTCCACGAAAAGAGAAGCCATCGTAAGAAGGAGCCGGTGCCCCCACCGCAGTCTCTGCTCACTGGCCGCGCACAGAAAAAACCCACACACAGCAACAAAGACCTAGCGCACCGGCTAAATATAGAAATTAATTAAGTTAAAAAGGAAAAGAACTGTACAGTGAGCATCTGTCAAGTGCTGACTGCCGGAAGGAGACAGAATGTTTAAAGCGCAGACCCTGCCCTCCGAAACCCTGAGCTCCGTGGAGAACTAGTCCTGGTAACTCACTGTAGGATGGGGGGATACAACTGTGACTCAAGCTTGCCCCACACACAGGAGGTCAGAGTCTCTGCAGTCTCACTTGAGAGACTGCTGGAGGAAAGATGAAGAAAGGACAGCTATACTGATCACAGCCCCGGCCTTAGAGTCCAATCAGGGAGGCTGGAAACAAACGTGCAAGAGCCAAGGTCTTCCTGGTGCTTTCTGTTGTTAAAAGTGGAGATGGCACATTGTTATTGTTAGGAAAAGATTGACTGGGCCTTTTAGAGTAAAGGGCAGTGCTAATTTGGAGAGGGGAGGAGGAGGCAAAGATTAAACCACAGAGTGGCCGGTAGTGCTTCTAGTGTCCTGGCAGGGAGGTTGTCTTAACCAAGACCCGTCAGCACGCTCAGTCAACCACTTCTGGGATCCTGCGCAACACAAGGAAGACACAGGCCCCTTGTGTAATAATTGGGCCAGCTCAGGGTGTGGCTGATGATGGCTGTGGTGCTGCTGCTAATGGAAGTAGCTATCCAGGAAGCAGACAGTTGGACTCTAACTAGTGTGACTTTAATTACTTATTGAGTATAATTAACTTTTGACTAGCTCCCAGGGAAAGCATCATGCTTCCTTTTATTCCTTTAAAAAATAATGAAATGAGCCATGGCAGCTTTCCTGAAAAGGGACTGAATCAAAGTGATGTTTTAAGTATTAAAGGATTGAGATTTTTCTCACTCACCCCAAAGCCAGACGGGTCACATTTTAACAAGGGCTGCGCTTTGTAAGTGGAGTGCAGATGTCCGAACAGTCAGCGC